CTGAGAATTCTGCCCTTTGGCAAGCTCTTCTTTCCTTTTCCTATTTTAGCAACCAACCTCACCCCAAACCCATGAATCCATGGTGGTTGTTTTTATTTTTAATTTTTTTCTAGTGTGGGAAAATAGAATGAACGTGTCCACCAAATGTTTTCTCGAGGTGTCAAAATTACTTTGTTAGTTCAAGATGCCATTAGTAGTTCTCTGATTGTCCTCTGTTCTCAAAGGTTGGTGACCTCAACAAGAAGCAGCGTTTCTATGTGCGTCTGCATCTGCCACCTTCCACCTTCCCACCTTCCCCCTTCATTAGGGATTTCCACCCATTCCTCTAACTCTAGCCTTCCAATTGCCTCCTCTCACCTAAGTCCATGTTATGATTGTTTTTGAGTCAGTTAAACATTTAAACAAAAACACATAAAGCATTTAAATGAATTCACATTAAGCATAGAAATGGTTTTACATATACAAATGAATGTAAGCATTAAGGAGTTATAGATCTTAGAAAGGCCATCTGAAAATGCATTTATTCCATAGATTGAAAATGAAACATCATAGAATGGGTCAAACACAGGTTCTATACTGACAGATACCCTATAGACATTCAGTCCTTACCTGCTTAACTGCATGATGACCAACAAATCAAAAGTCCCCAGAATCTCAGTCATCTGTCTTCTGCGGCTGCTGTGACAGTTTTATAGCCTGTGCTTTCTTCTTTGCTTGCATACATTGGACTGGATATGATATCTGCAAGCGATGCTGGGGTTAATTTGTAATCCTGGTCAGCACTTCCTCTTTTCAAACAGCTGGTTGGCAGCCCAAACAGCAGGAAATATGCATTTTATCCTGGGAAGCAGAGCCTACCCTGCATTTTCCAGGCAGAATCACCTAAAACGATTCTGCTCTGAAGGACTGATTACCATCTAGACCTGAAGCAAAGCAGGAGGCTTTCTGGTTCAACTCTTAGGGACTAGGAGAACAGCCATCACAGACTTCAACTCTCAGTCACCGTTAGGCTAAAGAACCCGCTGGACCCCACGGCCAAGTAGTGCGACCCTCCCTAGTGGCCACCAAGGGAGCACAGCGCCCAGACACCCGTACTCCTGCCTCCCACCCCCACCTTCAGAAAACTAGCGGCGGGAGAGGGAGGAGGCACACAAAAGGGTAACTTTAAAGTGGGTTTAAAGTAAGCTTGCAGCGCCCAAGCCTCTTGGTCTGTGGATATCACAACATTCTAAGCCCTCGCTCCAAGTTGAAACCCAACTCACTTCACCTCGCTGCCCTGCTCTATGGATTCTCCGGAGTTGGTTGGTGAAGGAAGGAAAGGAATGAGTGATGGTCAGCAATACTTCAACACCGATCTAAAAGAGTCATTCAGCAACCCGAAGCCTTATCAAGCAATCATATAAAGAGCGATCATGGCTTTATAAAGGAGACAGCCTGAAGCATCATGCGCTGAGTTTAGATGCAGCTCATGAAAATAATAATTACGTAGAAATGTGTTAAGAGATTGTAGAAAACTCAAATATGCCCTGTTCCTACAGAGGGGCTCTGGGGGGTGCAGAGGAAGGCTGGACACGGAGCCTTGTGGAAGGTTGAAACCCCCCAGTAAGTCCCACTCTGCTGGGCTGCAAATACCCAGAGCAAGCTCAGCTTCGCTGCAAGGCTGAGTGCCGAGCCTACGCCAGCGGATCTCGGGGACTCCAACCTCACCCGCCAGGCGCTCCCACACCAGCATCGAGCCGGGTATATCCAGGCTACTAGGTACTTTGCCCTCCACGTCCCCTGAGCCCAGGTGGCTTAGGTGTAGCCAAGAGCTATTGCTAAATCTCCATACAGTCGCCTGTTGCTAGCCTTCTGGCTAAAGCATTCTAGACTGTGAGAGCATCACATCAATTTCCCTTGCAGAAGGATAAACTGAGGGTTCTAACACAGCAAAACGCACTTACCTAGATAACGAATCCCTGTGCCTCACTGGAGTAGACTAGATTAAGAAGCGAAGGTCTGACTGCACTGAAAGTTTCTCTCTCTCTCTCTCTCTCTCTCTCTCTCTCTCTCTCTCTCTCTCTCTCTCTCTCTCTCTTCTCTCTCCCCCCCCCCACGCGCGCCACACCAACAGCG